ATTCCAGTGCCTGCCCTCTGCTGATTACTTCCAATACACCTGGGTACATAAAGGGTGTTTGTGTGTAGTTATCTGAAGGTTACCTCAAGGGCAGGGACTGTGTTTTGCCTTTCTTTCCATCCCCAGCCCTTAACATAGTGCTGGGCACATAACAGGTGCTTAATTATATTGACTGTCTATAAGATCGAAGGGTTGGAACTATTTAGTTTGGAGAAGAGAAGATTTGGGTGGGGGGTGGGGGAGAGACAGAGGAAATCAATGTGATACAATGGGAAGAGTACTGGATTGTGAGTCTGAGGGCCAGGATTCATATTCTACCTCTGACCGTCACTAGTTGTTTGACCAGGGGCAAGTCACTCTGAACATCAGTTTCTTCATCTGTAAAATGGGCATCATCATCTTCATAATGATAATAATATAATCCATAGTGATCAGAGCTTGTTATTGTAAGGATCAAAGGATACGCTGCATCAAAGTCCTACACAAATCTCCTTTATTATTAATTATTATGAGAAGACTTTTCTTCTTGGCCCCAAAGGATAGAGCTGGGACCAAGAGGGATGGGGGGGGGGGGAGGTGTGGAGCTACAGAAGCATATTTTCCACTCAATAAAAGAAAAAAAAACTTTTCAACCACTAGAACTGACCCCAAATGGAATGAATTGGGGCCTCGTCACCAAGAGGCTGGACAGATGGGATTCGGGATTTCATTAGAGTCTGGACTTGTTAACCTTGGAGGTCTTGCCAACTATAAGCCTCCTTAACTTCATCTGAAAATCGGAGAGAAAACAGTATGGTGGAGTGGAAAGGGAAATAGCTCTGGGTTCGAGCAGCCCTAGCTGTGCCAGTGACTAACCTCGGGAAATGCTTGGATTTCAGTCTCCATAACTGAAGAACGGGGGATGACAGTCCCTGTTTTAGTTTAGCTCATGAGGACATAGGAGGACCTAACAAAATGTGAATTAGCCTTCCTAACAAGAAGAAACACCTTGTACTTAGTAATAAATTATTAATAACATTTCCCAAAAGTATAAATTGATGTATAAATTCAAAGTGTTTCTCCCAGTATGAGTACTTTATTTGAAAGCCTGATCAGAAAATACATGGCTCTTCCTTCCTCTCAAGTAGAGAGGTGAGGGGCCACTGGTGGAGAGTAGGTTTTGTGAGATGGTTTTACTTGTTTTTATTGTTTCGTTTTCGGTCACGTCTGACTCTTTGTGACCCCATTTGGGGTTTTCTTGACAGGGATACTGAAGTGGTTTGCCACTTCCTTCTCTAGCTCATTTTACAGATGAGGAAACTGAGGCAAACAGGGTTAAGTGACTTGTCCAGGGTCACCCAGCCAGGAAGCGTCTGAGCCAGCTTCGAACCCAGGTCCTCCTAACTCCAAAGCCATTGCTCTATGCACTGTACCACCTAATTGTCCCTGTTTTTATTTAGCTATCTTTAATTGTTACGCGTGGGGGTGGAGAAAGGTGTGTGTATCAGGAAGTGAATGAGGAGTAAATCACAAAGGCATCAATAACACTTTAAAAGGACATTGGTATCATATCTATGACGACACACACACACACACACACACACACACACACACACACACCAGGCTGGAAATTCCCTGGGAGAATGACCTGTGTCTCATCATCATATTGGATATCCTCTGAGGCTGGGTGCCGTCTGCCTCATTAAACTAGGGGGTCCCTAAAGAGGATCCTCTCTAGTGGAGAGATACACTACAAAGTTCAGTGAAAAGAGCATAGGAGAAATCTGGAGTCTGAGGACCAGGGTTCAAACCTCAGGTGACCCCAAGTAAGTCATTTACATTCTCTGAGCCTCAGTTTCCTCCCCTGGAAAATGAAGGGGTTGGACTCAGTGACCTCAAAGTTCCTTCCAGCCCTTCTCGGCCTGGATCTAGAATCCCTCGGATGTTAAGGCTCTATCCCCGGGGGTCCTGGGGAGTTCCGACAGTGTAGGCCAGCCAGAGCATCCATGGAGACCAGTGACACAAGCAGCCCAATCTGATGCTGGGCCCCACCCCAGTGTGGGCTGGGAGATGGCCTCACACCATGAGCTCCCCTCTGAGGGGCTGCCTGTTCTGTGATGAGACTCCTGGGGGTGGGAGCACACACAGTACTCTGAGCAATATTAGAGTCGTAGAGTTGGGAGAGATCAGCTGGTCCAACCCACTCACTGGATGACTGGGCAAGGGGAATAATGACAATCTGACTTCCCTGCACATGCCTGGGCTCCCCTATCACACGGTGGGGACGGGACCTGGGTCTCCTTCATCATACCAGGGGCTCCCTAAGGACCCCAAATAGATCAGGGGTTGCCGTGTCACCCTGCATCAGACTGAAGACTCCCTGATGCAGGGCCTGCATCTCCTCCATCAGACCAGGGGCTCCCTGAAAAAGGGGCTGCGTACGTCCCATCAGTGAGAGAACGGTTCCAAGGGTAAGACTCTTGTATCTGTATACTTTCACCAAGTTTTATCACTGGAGCCTCACAACACCCCCCAGACATAGGCAGGGCAGGTATTATCACTGCTATCTGACAGGTGAAGAAACTGAGACCCAGAGATGCCTGACCTCTGAGGCCCCTTTTGCTGCTCCTCCTCTCTGTCCTGAGAAGGTCTTACTGATGACAGTCTGGGGATGGACCTAAATTTTCCATTAGGAAGTGGAATAATCTAGGTGACAGATAGTTTGAACTCAAGTATCTGAGGCAAGAAAGCAATTTAAGAACATAAGACAAGGCAGAATTAAATCAAGGTAGAAGTAGGAGGTAGGGCTGTCTGGAATCCAATAGGAAATAGAGAGAGGAGTTGTCAGTGAGAAAACCTAGGAGAAGAAGGGGTCATTTCAGTTGTTTGGAGTGCAGGCCCTGGCGGCCAAGTATAAAGCATTGGAAGTCAACTCCCCTCATTTTATGGCTGAAGGAACTGAGATCCAGAAAGATTGAGTGAATGCCTAGGCGGCTGTAGAATTCTGAATCTGGAGTCCAAGTTCACGGTTTTCCTCAGGTACTTACTAGCTGTGTGACCCTGGGCAAGTCACTTCACCTCTGCCTGCCTCAGTATCCTCATCTGTAAAATGGGGAGAATAGTAGCACGTACCTCCTGGGTTGTTGTGAGGATTGACCAGTTAGAAAGCATTTGTTAAATACTTACTATGTGCGAAGCACTGTGCAAGGAGTCAGGGATACAAAGAAAGGCAAAAACATGGTCCCTGCCCTCATAGAGTTCTCATTGTAATGGAGGAGGTCACATGCAACTCACTAAGTCCATGTAAGAGATATACAGTTACAGTGTTACGGGTAGATGGTAATAATGTAACATAGTTCCAGCCTAGCAAATATACAGTTACAGTATAACATATACAGTTAGAATGTAACATATGCAGCTGCAGTGTGCTATAAACAGTTACAATGTAACACATATAGTTACAGTGTGACATATATACAGAGGTTGAGCCTGCGTCCAGAGCCAGATTGATTCTGACTCGTTGTCGTGGCCACAGCGAACCCAGGTCATCTCAGAGGCAAATCGCCAGCATCTGGGGGGATTAGGAAAGACTTCTTACAGAAGGTGGGCTTTAAGCTGATTCTGGAAGGAATCTAGGTAAACTCAGAAGGGGAAGTGAGGAGGAAGAGCATTCTAGGAATAGGGGACAAGGAAAAGGCGAGAGAGGGAGAAATCACAGATGGATTGTCAAGAAAGCCTTTGTCCCTGGATCGCAGCATCTGGAAAGCTGGGAGGGGCCAGGTTATGAAGGGATTTAAAAGCCAAACATAGAATTTCCTATTTGACCCTGGAGGTAATAGGGAGCCAGTGGAGTTTAAGTGGGAAGTGACTTGGCCGGACCCATACTTCTGGAAGATCACTTTGGCTTCTGAGTAGAGGATGGATTGGGGCCAAATGAGATAATACACACAAAGTACTTTGAAACCTTAATGGGCTATATAAATGTGAGCCTCATTATTACTGTTCAAGGTCACACAGGTAGCATAGGGCAAAGCCATGGATGCATGTACACAGGCTGTCCTTCCCAGCTGATTATGAACTCTTTGAGGATGAAGAATGCTTTTGCCTTTCTTAGTACCCCCTGAGCTTAACAAGGCATGTGGTACATAGTAGGTGCTTAATAAATACTTGTTGATTGAGTGAACAATACTGTGACTATAGAAGTAGCCAACACCAAGATCTATTACAGCCCATCTGGGATAGAACAGTGGCTCTGGAGTCAGGAAGACCTGAGTTCAAATCCAGCCTTAGATACTTAGCTAGCCCTGTAAAACTGGGCAAATCACTTAACCTCTATGGCCTTAGATTCCTCAACTATAAAATGTTGGGGGGGAAACAGCAGCTACCTTTTGGGATTATTGTGAGGATCAAATGAGATAATATTTGTAAAGCACTTGGCATACAGTAGGCTCTACATAAATGCTTATTTTCTTCCATTCTCCCTTTTGTGCCATTTCATGGAGGGAGCCCAGAGAATTTCTGGTCTATCAGCCATCTGTACAGCAGGGTCTGGGTTAACACACCCTACCTCTCTAATTTCAAGCCTGTTTCCAGAGTCAAGATTTGATCTCTGCCTCTCAGTCACGGCCACAGCCAGCCCAGGGCAGTTGTGATCTGTCCCCTCTTTGTGCCCGATGTGGCCCATAAATCCAAATGACCGGGAAAACACAGAGTTAACTCAATTAGGCCCCTTAACGAAGCCAGCCCTAAAGGGTAATTCCTATAAAGGCCCACCCCCAAAATAGCAGGAGACTTCATTAAATGTGTGGCGTTGCCACAGCAATTATCTGGGTCATCTGAGGATCTGGCCTTGTGATTAGTCCTAGGAGTTCATTAGCCTATTGGCGAGCAGAAGGGAACAAAGAGTGAGGCTTCGGAATGATAATAATCCTGGCAAACCACCATATTTGCCAGGGGCTGCCAATTTCTTTCAAAACACTTCGTGCCCTCCTCTCATTCCTCCCAACGTGCCTGAGGTAGAGCAGGAGCCAGAAGGATGTACCAGGAAGAATGCTGGATCAGAGGACCTGGGTTCGAATCCTAAGTCTGCCACTCACCACTTTGGGTAAGTCACTTGGGTCTTTGGGCCTCCTATACAAAATGATAGGGGCTGGATTAGATGGTCTCTCGACTTATCCCATGCTCCAAATTTTATAGCTAACAAGAGGCCCAAGATGCTAGGAGATCCAGAAACTGCACCCCAAATTTTCTGCCTCCTGGGTCTTTCCCTTGGACTGAACTGCCAAGGAGGAGTCATATGATTTCTCCAAGGCATCCAGGCCCCCAGGCTGCAGGGCTAGTTCCCTTCCTATGTAGAGAGGTAGGGCACCCCAGTAGAAAGAACACCCAACTTTACAGTGCAGAGACATGGTTTTGAGTCCTGGCCCTGCCACTAACTAGCTAGGAGTCCTTGGACAAGTCATTTGTAGGCAGAGTGATATGATGGGATGCACTCAAGTCTTAGTTATTATACAGGGAGAGCTTGAGGTCAGGAATTAAATGGTTTGTAACAGAGCTGGCAAGAGAGTAAAAACAGCCTTGGGACAGCCCTCTGCCTTTGATCCCACTGAAGAAGAGATGAAAGCAAGCTGGGATGGGGGGAGTATTGAGGGAGGGAGTGGAAAAGAGTTGAGACTAAACATTTTATAGATATCTCATTTGATAATGAGCCAACAAGCCTGAAAGGTAGGTACTATTATTATCCCCATTTTACAGATAAGGAAACTGAGTCTTGGAGAGGTTCAGTGACCCAGGGTCACACAACTAGGAAGTGCTGGAGGCAGGATTTGAACTCAGGCCCCCCTGACTCCAGGTCCATATTCTAGCCACAATATCATGCTGTTTTTCCTTGGGGATGACAGCCCAGATCCATTAAGGGTGGACCAGTTGGGGACCCTTTCAAGTCTAGGGGAGCCCTTTGAGACACTCTTCACCCTGTGCAACAGCTTTCCTGATGTGTCCAGATATACTTGTTCCCTGGCCAGGAGAGCCCCAGGTTCGATGGGGTCACACACACACACACACACACACACACACACACGGTGGCGCACATGCAGAGCTCTCTCTTACCTACAGCCGGGAACGGCACGAACCTCTGGATGAGAAGGCGGGTGGCTGGGGTGAACTTGTTTGCTCTTTGAACTAGAGCATTAAGGCCCACCTTGGAAAGAGGAGAGAGTGAAATCAGAAGAGAGAGTGACCACAGCAGGACATTATGTACCCATTAAGCACCAGAGGAGGTGGACAGGAAGGCCCTGGGCAAAGAACAGTTCCTTATCTCCTGCCTGATCCCAAGTGCCCATCTGTGACTCAGTGCCTCTGTTCCCAGGGTGACCTGATGGTCAGTGGCAGCTGCCCATCCACGCCTACCTGCTCATGCTCCATGCTCCTGTCACCAGGAAGAATGGGCCCCCTGGGAAGAGGTTCAGGGAAACTGGGCATGTACCCTAAGATGCTTTTATTCTTCATTCCTTCCACTGCTATCTACTTAATCAATGAAGTGAGAACCATGTGTCTCCTCTGGGCCAGGCTTGGTGCTAGGAAGTGATTCAGGAAAGACACAGGGCCTGCTCTGGGGCAACTTAAAGGCCAGCTGAAGGGACAAGATCCTCACAGACACATTGGGGAGGGGGGGGATGAGATCAAATGTTCAAACTCTGCCCCATCTCATGTACTCTATTTTGCACATACTTATTTGGGGGAAGGGGAAGGGAATGAGCATTAATAGAGCACCTACTATGTTCCTACCATGTGCTAAGTGCTTTTCATAAGTATTATCTCATTTATTTATATAAATATTTTATATTTGACATATTTATATGAAATATTTTATATTTAATATATTTGTGTGTATATATGTGTGTGTGTGTGTGTGTGTGTGTGTGTGTGTGTGTGTATGTCCCCTGATCGAATGTAAACTCCTTGAGGGCAGGGTCTGTTTTATTTTTTCCTCTTTGTAACCCCAGTGCCTACCACAGTACCTGGCATATACAAAGCACTTAATAAATGCTGATTGATTGAATGGCTGGGTATATGACACAGACTATACAGGAACTGGGAATTCAGAAGAGAGAGACATCAGCTTTAGCTAAGGTGAACCAGGAAGGCTCTGTGGACAAGGCGGACTTGAGTTAGGCATTGAAGGATGGATGGTGATAATGATAATGAATCCAACCTCCTCATTTTATAAATGAAGAAACTGAGGCCAGAGAGCTGAAGTAATTTCAATTCAATTCAATAAATATTTATTAAGTGCCTACTATGTGCCAGGCACTGTGCTAAGGGCTGAGGACACAAAAAGAGGCAAAAAAAACCAGTCCCTGTCCTCAAGGACCTTATAATCTAACAGGGGTGGGCGAGAGGGGAGAGACCACATGCAAACAAATACATGCAAAGCAAGCTATGTACAGGAGAAACAGGAAATAGTGAAGAGAGGGAAAGCATCAAGGTCTCCTAGCTACACAATGGCAGAGCCAAGGTTTGAACATGATTTGAAATGCCCCACGCTCCCCACTACCCACATTCTTTAAGGTTTACAAGGTCCTTGACATTCATCGCCTCCTCTGAGTGTCCCAAGATCCCTGTTATGCCCATTTTTTTAGATGAGATAGCTGAGGCTCAGAGGGGTTAAGTGATTTGCCCATAGTCACACAGTGACAGAAACAGGACCTGAAACCAGATCTCCTGGACCTTTGTCTATTATGCCACCAATTCTCATGGTAGGCAGAGCATGAAGGGAGAAAGTTCCAGGCAGAGAGAAGATAAGCAAAGGTGTGGAAGTGGTCATGGATGGGGAGGCAGGCAGGGGACGGGCAGGGAGAGTAGTTACAGGCTGTTTTCCTACAGAATGCATGTCCATTAGGCTAGAACCAGCCCAGCTATGGTCAGACAGCCTCATCATCACCGGCTGGGTCTCAGGATCATGTATTTTTGGCCACAGAGAGGATGCAATCTGCCTTGGTGGGGTGGATGGCCTCATTGGTGAGATCTCAAGTTAAGACAGAAAAGTTTCTGCAGCCCTTGACACACACCTCATTCGACTCTCCCAACAACCCTAGGAAATAAATAATCCAAGTATCATTGTTCCCATTTTACAGCTGAGGAAATTGGAGCTTAATAAGGTGAGGTAACTTGGCAAGGACACACCGCTTGTGAGCACCAGAGCTAGGGTGACTTCTGGCCAGGTCTCCTGTCTTCAAGTCCAGGACCCTATCTACAAGCTGATGACAGTTGCCTGAGGTCTGCAGGGGCCAGACTTTGGAGGACACCTACACTCTATTCAGTCTCACACTTAGCTGTCCCCACTGCCAAGAGTCTTGTCTCCTCAACTGGAGTGTGTGCCAGGGACTATCTCAGAGCTTGTCAAATGCGAAGAAGAGTTGAGCCCAGAGATGTGGGTGGGCTACTGGCCATAGAAGGCCCCTGTCCTTTGTCAGGACTTCTGGGGATTCCCAAAGGTATATCCAGGGGCCACTCCCTCTGGACTCCAGCCCATTCACCACACAGCTGCCAATGATTGTCCTAAAGCGCAGGCCTGGCTATGGCACTCCCCAACTCAATAAACTCTAGTGGCTCCCTATTACCTCTAGGATCAGCTGTAACATCCTTAAAGCTTTTCACAAGCTCTCCCCTTCCTGCCTTGCCATCCTCTCATCCTTTATCCCCTTCATCTAGGACAGAAGTGAAGCAAGCGCAGACCAGGCATGCCCTCCCCAGCTCCCTTCAACGCTCAGTTCAAGGGCCCCTTTCTGGACAGTGCCACTGTTAGGGTCTTTCCCAACCCCCACATCAATTTGTATTCACTTAATTTGTTATCGATGTTGTACTAGCCGGCTACCCCAATGGACTGGGAACTCTTGGGCTGCACGGTCCCTTTCCTTTTGGTACTTGTAGTCTCTGTGCCTAGCACTGGGCTGCAAACCTTTTTTGGGGAGGTAGATCTGTGACTGCCTCAATGGAAAGAAACCTCCTTCCCTGATCAGTTTGTGAAAACCCCCTCAAACTGATGCAGGTCAAAAATGTGGATGCAACTTGTAGTCTTAGCTATCTGGGACCCAAAGAGAGCAAGTCACTGACCCACATTAAAAGTTCTGGACTGAGTGAACTAGAGGTCCTGGGTTCAGATCCTGACTCTGCCACTTACTATACACCTGTGTGACCTTGATCAAGTCATCTGACTTCTGGAGTCTCTCTTTCTATAAAAGGAAGAGGTGGGGCTAGATGACCCTGAGGGTCCCTTTTAGTTCTAAATTTCTGGATCCTCTGAATGAATGAAGTTGACAGTGCCTAAGGATTAACTCTAATTGGAGTTCTCTGACCTTCCAGGAAGCTTTGGCCAATCCTAGCCAGCCCTTCTCCCTCTTCCTCCCCAACTCCTGGCTGCCTTCAGGACTCTGCTCAAATCTCACATTCTACAGGCCTCCCCCCATCACCACCACTGCTAGTACTTTCTCTCTGAGATTACCTCTGTGTGTGTATAAATATATATACATATATAATTATATATATATATATATGTATGCACACATACTAGGTATAGACAGGATATTTTTCTATAGATGGATGTCTTGTATGTACCTAATTATTTACATTGATC